ATGACATCAAAACATATTATAATTACGTCATAATAACGTAATTTTCTTCAATGCATTTATTATGTTATTAAATGTCAGTATTGGATCATTAAATAATTTCCCATCAAGGTTTTTATACAACATATTTCGAATTTCATTATAACGTTGACAAATGATGCTTCATATGAACTACTTTTTATATACAATTTTATATACTGATATTATAATAAATATTTGTTATTGCTTTGCTAGGCCACCGGCACATATACAAACATTTCAAAACAATGCTTAAAATGTAGCAGGTATGTTAGGGAGTAAATGTTGTATGTAGCAGTTAACTACAAGGGGTAGGATTCTGGAAGACTATACCGGAACAGAACCAAGCAGATCAGTTGTATGCAAAAACACATTAGCGGTTTATTGCGAGATAACTAAACTATTCTCGTTTTTAGATGACACGGAATCAAATAATACTTAATTTGTTAACAATTGTTTCCTGGCTTCAAATGCTTTGAACACAAACATACAAATATTTTGTAGAATAAATCACCGTTTATTGATTGAACAAGCCTTCGAAATTTTGTGAATATTGAATATTGTTGGGGGATTGACCCTCGTCTTAATGTGTTATATGCTGGACAAATCAACAGAAAATAATATTCATCCTCAACAAAACTAGCACGAAATACTTTACAGACTCTTTCCGTTGAAGGCAAATTTTCGCACTGACCTTTTCAATTCTAAGTGGTAAAACCCCACAACAAAAACATGCAAAAATGCGGACGAGTTTCAGATTACAATTTAAAGATAAATATTTCTCCAGTTGTAAGGCACTCTTGAACTCAATGCAATTACGTAATTCAGGTTTCAAGGACGCATTTGCTTTTCAAAGCTGTTTCTGTGTGTCAGAGACTCGCAGTACAAATTCAGAAAGAAAAACGTCCTTGCTATCAACTTCTTGAGCTAGCCAGACATACCCAAAGCCATATGAATACGTCGCCCAGTTATTTCTACCTAGGTCATTGAGATTACGCAACATTAAATAGGCATGCCTGGAAATTCTCGTAAGGGGGAGTTCTTAGAGTCTAAGCCAAAACTTAATACAACGTTTAAGCGTGGAAACAAAGATTGGAAGTCGCCCACATTCTCCAACTATAGCATCTTTGGCGGTACCTTGAGGGAGCCCAAGAAGCCTCCTGCACCATTTCCTATGTACTTTTTCAATTTGGTCGTAGTATTGAAATCCCCATATTTCAGGTCCGTAACACAGAATAGGAGACATAATTGAATCAAATAATTTTAAATGGATGTCAAAATGAAGCCCATTAAGTTTATTAGATACCGATGAGAGAATCCTGAGCGTTTTCCCAGCCTGGCCCGCTAAAGTAGAAACTGCTTTAGACCAAATGTTTCTGGAAGAATGCACGAGACCTAAATACATATAATAGGAAACAACTTCTAACTCGCTTCCCTCAAGGTACCACTTCTAGTTTCTTGAAGCGTGACCACCCTTGCGAAAAACCATAACTTTAGTTTTTTCTAAATATTAACTTTCATGCACCACTTGCTAAAAAATTGCGATAAAATATTAAACAAATTCTGCAGATTTGAAATTGAGTCACGAAAAATGACTACATCATCTGCATAAAGTAAAAGTAACATATTATAAATGTCCTGTGTTAGATGAATCCCCAAATGTCCTGAGTTAACCTAATAAAATATTTAACCCAGGACTTAACATTACTGTACATAGAACGCAAGATACAAAACATGTTACCATGGATACCAATTGTTAATAATTGGTATCTATGTTATATAATAATAGTGAATGGTTTATCCTGTCGAATGCTTTAGAAAAATCCACGAACAGACAATACAATTTACCACGCCTTTTTACCAAATACTTCTGCACAATAGTATACAAAACAAAAATATTATATATAGTACTATATTGAAGGAGATGACCTTTATCACTCAAAAGTGCAATGTAATAAAAATGAAAATCCTTAGTGAATTGCCTAGTAAAGTATTTATCAATCCATACGAGTATATAATTGAGAAATGTTTTCCTATTATGGTCATTATTTAGAACAGTATATGGTAATTGCTAGTTAGATGCTTACGTTTTCACGCTGAAAATGCTGATACACTGCATGATACAATGTTTCGTTACAGGAAACGTGTTGAGAAAGTGTTGATATTTAATGTTACGCATGGTAGGGATGCTAAATTGTTATTGGAGCACCTGGGGCAATGTAACTTCACAGCCACTGCCTTCAGCCCAAACATCACTGATGTAGACGATTTAGTAGAAAGTAAGCAATTAGTAAAGTTTTAACACAACTTATAAACGTCACTACATCCAAAACTTTCCCAGTCATTAAATGTGGTTTATTGTGTGGAGGGGGCTTCAGTTAATAATACGTGATATTTACAATACTTCATTGCAACCATTGCATATTTCACTCTTCATACAATACACACATGATATCTTGTTTTAAGTCAGTAATAAGAATGTGTGTCTTACCATAACTGGACGCAAATATTTCCTACAGGATTATTGCTGGTCGCATCGTCAGGTTGATTACTTGCCCATTTCTGATAACCTTCACACATATTGTGTACCCATACTAAGCTGTCACCAGTGTGTCCCGTACCTGTAGGTGTTGGATCATAAAGGCCAATCCAGAATCCCCAGTTATGACATGCATGTGTATTCATACCAGTATCGTTAATGGTTTGTATTATTTGTTGGAACGTTGATTCGGTGTCTATGGTGGCAAGCCAACCTCCTAAAGATTCACATAGTAGCTCGGCGCCAACTTGTCCCATATAACTCATCAAGTTAACTCACTCATGTAGTCATAAACTGTCGACTGATGAACTTATTGATTAACTGGAACAAATAAAGAAGTAAATTACATTTCAAAAATGTTCAAAGTAAATCATGTAATGCACAAATATACTATATGCACTATATACGCCAAGCATGTCCCTGACACAAATCGAAATGGTTTACAATACAAGGGCCCACAGAGTACAAATAATTAAGTGGGAAACCCAAACTGAAGCAGAGACTAATGCAAGGACAATAACAGTATAACACTGTATCAAAAAATACAGTACAACACCTCATCATAAGTAAAGGCGCTATCTAACACGTACACAGAAA